CCCGTGCAGAAACGGGGATTTAAAGTAGAAAAAAACTGCAAAAGTAGATGTATTTTCAGACGACGTCGCTGTTAAAAGGAGGTTAAACTGGGGTTAATCTGAACGGAAACCCCTCATTGACTGCTTCTTTTTTACTTTCGGGTAAAAAAGAGAAACAGTTTCCATCCGGATTAACCCATTTTAACATCACTTTCACTTTTCACACTGGGGAATACCGTTAATAAATTGCTTCCGCTTTTGCGGTTTTTTTCTACTTAAAGCAGGGTTTCTGCATGGGACTCCCCATGTGATAAACTCTTATGTTAGCTAAAATTATGATTCAATTTCACAAACTAGATTCTGCATTACATTGGCTGATCAGCAATGCATGTTAGGCATTCTGCTCTGTCTAAAGCAGAACATGCACACACACACACACACACAAAATCCCAGGCTGACATATGATGCAAAAACTAAAATTTCTGAATTTGGCCAAATGTGAATGGAAGATATTTTCATTTTAGTACATTTTTATTTACCAAAAGTTTTAAATGTCTTTATCTCTCCAAACATGCCATAAAAATATTAGGCATAATCAAGACCCTCTGTTTAATAAGATTCCAATTTTTCAGTGTTGATTTGTGGGGAAAGTTGCAAAACAGCATTGCTTAATTATTATTTTCTGCTTCAGACCCATCAGGCCCTTTGAAATCAAGTCTAAACAAGGAGCCTCCATGGAGAACATATTTTCAGCCAATAGAAAGATAATAGGTGTGAATGAATTGCCAATGGCAACAATATGCCAATGGTCTTATTATAGCACATCTAATAAAGAGGCTGAAATATCTTGACTTTCGCTGGATTTGGAATAAAAAGAAAGCCCTCTTTCTTTAGAATACAACTGATGTAAAAGGTGTTCAAAATTATACTGTGGCCATGGGGGAAAGCATGCCAAGATCTGATTAGGGTCAGAATCAGAAGAGGAGGGTCTCTCTGTTGTCCTTCTAGAAAATAAATGATTTTGTATGATCTAACATAACGGATACAGATGCTTCAGTACAAAAACATAAGTGCTGGTAAGTGGCCATCTAATCACTTGGGAATTGTCAGTGAAGATCAATTATTGGCCAGAATCTTCTTGTGAAAGTGATCAATATACATCCCCATCCACAAAAAGGGAGACACAAGAGACTGCAACAACTATAGGACCATAGCACTGATCTCCCATGCAAGCAAAAATATGCTCAAAATTCTGCAACATAAACTCCAACCATACATGGAAAGAGAGATCCCAGAGGTCCAAACAGGGTTCAGGAAAGGAAGAGGCACCAGGGACCACATTGCAGACATATGATGGCTAATGGAGCGCATCAGGGAATTCCAAAAGAAAATCAGCATGTGCTTTATAGATTCCAGCAAATCCTTTGACTATGAAAGGCTATAGAATGCCTTTAAAGACATGGGAGTGGCAACACATCTGATAATCCTGATGAGGAATCTGTACTCAGGACATGAGGCTACTGTTGGAACAGAAAACCAAGAAACAGAATGGTTCCCAGTTGGCAAAGGAGGCAGACAAGGCTGCATCCTTTCAGCCTAACTGTTCAACTTGTATGCAAAACATATTATAAGAAAAACAGACTTGGACACAGAAGAAGGAGGAGTAAAAATAGGAGAAAGGAAGATCAACAATCTAAGATATGCAGATGACACCATAGCAGAAAACCTCACAGACATGGAACACCTACTAAGGAAGATCAAAGAAGAAAGTGCAAAGGCAGGCTTAGTGTTGAACATAAATACAAAAATAATGACCACTGAGGACCTTCAGAAGTACAACCTAGACAATGAAGAAATAGAAATAGTAAAAGAATTCCCATACCTGGGATCAAACATTGATAGAAATGGGGACTACAGTCAGGAAATGAGAAGAAGACTAAGAATGGGGAGGGTGGCTAGGAAAGGTTCTGAAATGCAAAGATATACAACTCAGCACAAAAGTCAGAATCATACAAGCCATTGTATTCCCTATTACTATGTATGGATGTGAGAGATGGACAGTCAAGAATAAAGATAGGAGGAAAATCAACGCATTTGAGATATGGTGCTGGAGAAGAG